ATTATATTAAATTAGTAAAAATAATAAAACACAAACCTTCTGCTTACCTTAAAACTCCGTTTATAACCCATAAACACTAAAGAACTGCTATTAACAGTATATGCTTGGGCATCAAATCACGAAAATTTAATAATGTAGCAATTATTTCAAAAATATTTTCAAATATTACTTTTTTATATTTTTTATCACCTCCATACTTAAAATTTTAAAATAAATAAAATTTTTTAAAAAAAAGTTGTTGCCTCTTATAGCAATAAATTTTAACAATGAAAAAATTGCTACGTAATAATTCTAAAGTAAATTTTTTTTAAAAAAATTTAAGAAGTATCGAACCGTTACTAATTCTTGGGTTTAAATTTCTAACAACATTTTTTCTTTTACTTTTAGTCTATTCGAATTCTCCCAAAGTTCTGTTTAGATCTCTAAAAATCTGCCGCAAAGAAAGACTGGAGCCCCTGCTTCAAAACCATACTATATAAAGGTTGCAATGTCCTTGTGACTCGCACAACTCATTATTTGACCAAATTTGTATTTATAGACATTGTGATAAAGAAGTCCATTTATAATAGAAATTAAATGATGAATGCGTTCTCTCCATGGTAAGTTCAAAACTGACAAATCATGTTATTCATGCATTTTAGACAATCGACTTTTTTGTCGAATTACGATTCATATACTCAGGGAAGATCCATTTTCAGTTGATTGTCGAAGAGAACGTCATTATAATTTTTTTGATAACTATTTTTCATATTTAATTGATGATGATAAAGCAAGTTTATCGGACATTGGATTTATTTAGTTACCCCAGTTTTATTAAGTATAGGTCGATTGACATAATTCCTATTCTATTTATAATTAATTTTTAAGATCTATGAAAATGCCTTAATGGTTATTTGGTTATTCATTATATTTCTTAAACTTGCTATTATCTAGCTTACGTAATATTATTCGCATACTTTTTCGATTCTAAAATTATCCTGCATTAGTATGTGAGCATCAAAATAATAATCTAAAATATTGTCACCAATCATCACGAGAAAAGTTATTTGACTACATTTCTCAGGTCACTTAGTACCCTAACGTTTTTTTATTTTATTTGCAATACATTGAGCTAAAAATAAATTACATAATACGGGACTAGCCCAGTGATACTCTATTCTTTGACTGCGGACTAAAATACATGATTATTTTTGGAAAAACCTTTGAACCCGCTATTTCTTCATCGCCAGCTCCTTGGCATCCACCCTATCCCAACATTATTCTTGAAATCATATTGTTTATGCCTTTATGGTGCTAAAGAAATCCTCAAAACCCTGGAATGAAAAGATATTAGCCAGGTATTAGTTTACAGGCTTTCTTGCAATTGTACAGCCACAACTTGCGCAATGTCTTTGTCCGGAGCTTCGTCTCCAGTATTTTATTTCGTTGGCACTTCATCACACTGCAATATGTCATTAGTATGCTGATCCTATTGTATGGCTACGGAAGAAATGGAATGACGAAAAAAATTTTTAGAAAAAATAATGTCCCATAGCCCCTATTCTTTCGGCAAGAATTTCTCCGATATCATAATGCACATTTTTCTTAGGTGATCGGTTCACATGTCTAGATCATTTCTAAATTGTGTATATTCTAGGATACCGATGAGAAAATTGGGACTCTTCCATAATTAATAATACCCTTTATCTTCGTAAACTCATACATGTCATAATCTGCATAATAATCCCCTTAATCATGCCATACCCCTTCCTCTTCGATTTGGGAATTATCTGGAGAATTGGTTAATGGAATAGGTGCGGTTGATACTTAGATATGGTAGATATGTCTTCAGCATATCATAGGAGTGTTTCAATTTTAATTATAATTTTATTAGGAAGTACTTGAAAACTAGGAAGAATAGGTACAATCGGAAAGAAAAGCTTTTCTCCTACATCAAACTCTATCCTAATACACGTTTAATGTCTTAGTTTTCTGGGATGGATTTTTCTTGACATTTTCGGAGACAAAAATTCGATATATTGTAGAAACAAAAAACCAATTTTAATCACATACAAATAATGCAATAAGCTATATTATGTGCTGTATTATGTGCTGTGCAAGTTATATAGAGATTACATAATCAATTACATAATAGATAAAGATACATTATTTTTAATACATTATATAGATAGATTGCAAATTCATTTCGCGAATATATAATAATTTGTGTATATTCTATTCATATGTTAGTGAAACCGACCAAATTTTTTCGTTACTTTGCGATGAGATGTTTATCTTTTGGATCTAAAAGAAAAAGAAAAATAGTTATAAAAAGAAAGTAAAAAAAGAGCAGTTACATTACATACGTACCAACTTCAAATTCAGTAATAGTCCCATTGAGCCCTGCACTCCATGCCATATTCTTATGTTCATGCAGTTTATGCTCTAAATAATTTCCGAGTGGCCATAATAAAAAATTAATATGGTCCCAATCAAATATGCGACCGTAACAGTCAAGAAAAAGCATTCCGTAGTCACGTTCCCCGACAATGATGATGTGATTAAAGCCAAACTCTTGAATACTCTCCATATCATCAGTTAGATCAGTAATATCAGATTCTTTACTTTCACTCAAAATATTATGATAAACAGAAGTTGCAATACGATTACGGTCATATTCATTCTTGATCTTTTCGACTAACATGAACGAATTATTACGTGCATTTGATGATTCATATGGTCCATTACCTTCTGACACATTATACATGGGAGTATTACATTCAATTTTTTGCGTAAGGAAATGGTTCGGGAATACATGATGACACGGTGTCGTCGGTTCCTCTGTTGTCCATGTAGTACCTGAAGTAACCACCAAGGAACCGACTCGGAACAGTTCCCCCAATGATGGTTCAAATTCTTGGATTCTTCTTTTGTTAGGGCAACATTCAAATGACACCAACGCAACGATGGTATTTTTTCTACTCTCGAGTTCGTTATCTCCCAGTGGTTGTCGTATATCATTTTTTCTGTCAATGTTTGTTTTCCGCTGTGGACCGAAGTCCAATACATGTAATGATTCACGGTCCTTCTTGACTGGGATTGCCTTTTTTTTTCTTTTCGCCTTTCCTTGCTTGTTTTTCGTGATTTTTTCGTGACCGTCTTTCTTCGAGGAGAATACGTGATATTTGTTGTCGTTGGGCGACTCTTCTTGTCCGTTTCCATCATCATGATTTTTTTGTTCATGAGTCTCTGCATTTGGTGAAGATAAGCCCGTGACATCTTTCTCCGTTTGACATAGTATCCTCACAGGATACAAACTGCGTCCCATACCGTGATTACTAAGATTTGGTGAAGTCCTGGCGGGGTCACTATAATCCCTGCTGTCCCATACGGGATCACGATTTTTTGATATCTATGACCATAAAATCAATTTTTGCTTTATTAAAAAATGTATGAACAGCGTTTAACCTTAAAAACTTATTTTTCTTGCGAAATAACGTTATACCTGAAATTGTCGATAAAATTCGTTATCATAGATCTTGTCCATGGTTCCTTAACTACGAGTTTGTCAAACCCACTGTTTCCTTTGCCTCCATATATAGGTAAAGCCGAATTTGTGCAACGTGTTATTATTTATATTAGTCCTGTCGATCGTAGTTTAAAAATTCTTGATCTCAAATGATGTATAGCATTTTGAGAAACTATAGATATACTTTTACCTAGAGGAAGTAAATAAATATATGTGGGCATACATGAAAGTTATAGCGTAGAATTCAATACTTACCATTGAAATAACTACGATTTTAATAATTGAATATTTAAAGTTATTAATTATAAAAGATTAATGATTTGGGACCCCGTTTTTTGATAAACTCCTGAATTTTATTGTTTCTTATACTTCAAGAAGAAAGGTTCCATCATTTTTGCCGATCACAAGTTTTTTGACATCATTTTTTCGACTAGCCCAAGGTCTAATCCATTCAAGAAAGGAGGATATTCTATTATAGGTTCTCATTAAGTATTTCTTTAGCTATCTGGATGCTCCTAGTCTGGAATTTGCTATTTTTCTAGACAATATAAGAACGCCATGTTTTATATCAGTATATCCAAAAAAAATTCCGCATTAACATATTTATTGAAGTTTCATTATTAAATTAACTATTATTAACCAAAGCACTTTTTTCGACATCTTTCCATACTCTACAAGATTTACAATCCTTTAATTCCAATGAACTAGGTAATAAATCTTTATCAAATTGTTCACTTGCTTCTCTTAGTAATAAAGTCAGTAAATGATCAATTGAGATGACCTCAAGAGGATGAGGATTATTGGAAGACCCGGTACATTTAAAGAGACATTTTTTTTAATAGGAATAGTTTAATTTTTTAATAAAAAGTCGGAACCTTTAACTTACATTGTTTCAACAGGCGCAGTTCGTTTATCATTGACATCATATACAGGAATAGAATTATTGTGATTTGTAGTATCACAACTAACATTTACAAAATTAAGCATTTCTTTAGTAAGATATGATAGTATTTTATGATTTAAATGAATATAAATACCAAAAATATTGCATTCATGGATTTCTTTAAACGGACCTCCTTTTTTTGGTCTCTTCAATATCCCATTTAATAATATTTTCACTAAAATAATTGAGTAAAGTATTTTTGATAAAATTAATTTGCTAACGATTTTCTTTTTTTTTTAAAAAAAAAAAATAAATAAATAAAAGACTTATTCAGGAATACCTGCTCTATGAGCAATTCTACATTACATTTGCTTAACAATAACTTTCAACGAACAGAAACTATAAAAGAAAGTTGCTTATTTAAGCTTGTCCTCTTTTGATATTTCCTAAAAGTTTTGAAATGATACCTCACCATCCAATCGATTTGAATATAATTGACTAATTCATTTTTCATCAGGATAGGTGGAAATTTTTGTTTTGGATGTAATTGCTACTAGCAAATACAGAATGAAAGCCAAATGCTCAATACGACATCCTATTTCATCACTAAAAATTCTAAATCAAGAATGATTAATAATTCCATTCCCCTTGATAAATCTATTTATATCTATTTTTAAAACAATGAACGAAAAAAATATATTGAATGCGAAAGAGGTGAATCAAAACTTTCTGGTAATTCATTAAGTCCGATAATATATGCATCAGCTAGTGCATTCCTCCACGTTAAAGTAAGCACAAGATCCTAAATAAATATTAAAAATATTTACTTTTTTTTAAAAAAAATAAATTACCATTCGTATTATTCATCATCAAATATTCGATCCACAGATTTTTCCACAGAAAGAAATTGTTGTTTCTCCATTTTTTTGAATTTAAAACAAAATTATTAAAAATGATTATCGCCTTTGGACCTAATATTGTGCTGTGGCGATACTGAGGGGGATATTTCCCTTGAATCCGGACCTGTTACGATATTAGTTTCCAAAGAAGGTTGGTAAGAACCTCCACTTGCGATGGTGGTGAAAAGATATTAGACAGAGGTTTATTGAAGAAGCTGCCGCTGCAGCTTGTTGTAAAGATTTTTGTTGTAAAAATTTCTGTTGAGAGGAATATGCGAACTACAGTAGTTTCGTCATGAATTGAAGGACTAATGGAAGATGAAAGAGATTCCTCATCCCCACTCTATCCTCATCCTTATCCTAATTATCCTCTTCTTCTTCTTCTTCAATACTTGGTAACATAGGTATATGTTTTGCATAAGTTAAACCTTCTTCCAGATCAAGATATCTTTCAATATACAAATCATCATTTTGATGATGAGCGATAAGAGCATAATATTTGGATTACAAGAATAAATTGATTTGGGGTAATGGAGAATTTGTCCATAATCTTTACTAAATTAACTCCAAAAATAATTTTCTATTCTTACTCAATAACTTATAATTATCACAAACATAATTAAAAAGATTTATTTCTTCAATAATTTTTTAATAAATGTTTTTGACCTCGCGATTATTGTGCCTGATGATATTGTTGGTCAACAGATGCAGAGTTGATGTTATTAATGAGGGTGGTGTACGCGTAGCCGAAGGTACTTCAACGATAGTATAAACGTTTCGATAACGTTTTCATGAAGATTGCTAATCATTTGTGTCAGTAACGACAAATGAACTCAGAAGAGTGTTTTGAAGTTTTATTCCACCAGCGAAGATACAATTCATTGTTAAACCCTCTTCAAAGGAAATACCCAATAACCAAAAGAGATTCCATCAGAAATAATATAAATCACCCGAATCCTCATAATTGTATGAAAGCTGAATCTCACATCATCTCATAAAGGAAACAAAGTTAAATATATTGTTAAACTACGTAACATTAATTACAGCTGATTGCCATCCTCTACAAAAAATCTTTTTCACTCGAAACCTGAAAAAATTCAATTACCGTGGGTTTTTCTGATAAATCTATTCTCCATGTCCAAGCTGTTCAAATTTTCCAATGGTTCTCTCCACAAAAAACTTTTAAGAAAAGTAGTAAATTCTCGCTTTCACCAGAAAGTCTTATTTCATTTGGTTCTTTATTATTTTTAACTTAATTTACATAACTATCTTCTTAAATGAAATAGTATTTTTTTTTGTTGTTGTTGTTTTTGTTAATAATTAAAAAGATTATTTCCGGTCCACATTTGATCAACGTCAACACACTTTGCAAGAAATTCAAAAATATATTCAGCCATTCCATAAAGCTTTTCATTAACGTCTAAATATCCTTGAATCCCATCATCATCTCCAAAACATTTCACCAGATTTTGCGCATAAATGTGAAATCATTGAAGAGGGTAATACAACTTTACTTACTGTAACATCGAAACACAATAAATCAACTTTCCTTAACTACAACATAAAATAGATCTTTGATTAAATCAAGAAAGATACAAAGTTTCTAAAGAGTTGAAGATTTTTAACCGACTTGTTATTTATGCCCAAAGTTCAATTCAGTGACCAAATGAAATTATCGCATTGTATAACCTTTGTAATATTGCTCCGAAAACTTATAATATGATCATCACTTTCCGCGTTTGTTTGTCGAAAGGAATTATAAGCATCAATTTTCTGCTTCTTAAGATTTATTTTATCACGTGTAAGTTAAGATACTGAATTAAAAATATATGATCTAGCGTTCTTTTTTCTTCAGACTTACAATACTCAATTTTCGTTTATAAGACGCTTAGTTAATACATGCAAAATTTTTTAAATCATAGAAAAACCGATAAATATAACCGCCAGAAAAAATATTCTTACCAAATAAAAGTTTCAGACATTTTATTTTTCATAGGGAATTGTACGATATTAAGAATTACAAACGAAATAATCTACTAAAAGGATAAATAAAAATTTTCATATCATTAACTTCTGACTCAATACTTTTGCGCTTTTTTGATTGTTTGGATAAATTTATGATGGTTCGTATCTTGGAATTTCACAAATAAATATTAAAACCTTGAATGAAAATTGAAACAATTACGTATTGTTTTCATACTTCCTATAAAAAAAAGAAAAATTAATTAAACCAAGATAGAATTTTTCAATTATATCATGATGCGGATTTTTTGATTATTTAAATAACAATAAATTAATTTTAAACGTTAACGTTATGTTTTTGTAGCAAAACTCAAGCCTAAAGTCAAGTAAAACTCAAGTTATATTCATGTTAATGCGGATGGAATACTTATCATATCGAAGACGGCGCAGCATGGATCACGCCTTCAGTGGCTGGAACTTAGATTGTAGTATTTACTTTTGTTAATCACAAATCACTTTTGATTATTCATCCTTTTAATAGGGCTCTTGAACGAAAAGTCAAGAAAATAAATGTATTAACAGACAGAATCTCAAGTTCATTATTTGAGTCCAAAACGTTAATGCACCAAAATTTTTGAATTATTAAATATTCTCTCAAATGGAAAAAAACCATTAAACTTGGCTATAAAAATTGACGTACAGTATATAAACAATGGTAAAGACAAATGGTTATATATTAATAGAATCTATATGCGTTACTACTGAGAGTACTATATCACATTATCAACACATTCATATTTTGAAAAATGGTAATACTTTTAATTCATTGTTTTTAGGAAAAGCAGATCTTTTAAATGCGATTATATCGTCGAACTTTCCTTTCAGTCATAAATCCAATACTCAATTTTTTACTTCGATCATCATTAAATGTTTTTCATTATCGAATTTACCAGCCAAACTGCTGATACCAATATCACTCTACAAAACACAAATAACAGTTAACTGAATTGTGATGCCAAAAGTCTAGTAAAAGCAATGGGAAGGAACTAGTCATTACAGTAATTATGCGATCTGGAACGTGTTTTGCGTACTATGCATTACATCAATAATCTTTGAACCAAAAATTTGAGAAGCGATTACTTTATTTTCTTTTCGGGTAACCTAATTCTTTTTATTGTACAAATGTAGTATTAATATGACTGACGCTGGCGAATTACCCGCAGATATTAAAATCAATAATTTAATCGTGTAAAAAAAACGACGTTCTGGTTGTACAGGACGAATAGATGTTTATTAAAGGAGAAATAAAAATAATTCGTTCAACGCGTTACAGCTGCCGACTAAACATACATTTACTTTTTGTCTATTTTTATTTTTGTCGTTTTAACTTTTGGATTACTTAGGCACGTGGATACAATCAAATGAAGTTAAATCAAATGGAATTGGCAAAAAAAATTTCATTAAAGATTTAGAAGATACAATATGTCAAAGAATGAAACATACCTGAAGTAGAATTAGAATAAATTTCCTTTTCTTGTTGGAAATAATATAAACATGAATACAATTTTGCCTTTTAAAAATTTATTGATAAATTAATGAGATTATGAGTGGTGAGGCAATACCCTTCACTTAATATTTGAAACAATATTTCGTATAGAAAATTAAATGAAAGCATTACACAATTATTTATACTTTATAGAGTATTTTTGTTTGCTCTTGCTCTGTAATTTTACTATGAGCGTCCAGAAAGTTTAAATATTAGTTTTTTTTTTTACTCTGAATGTTCTGTAAACAATTAATTATACTCATTTTTGATTACATTTAACATAAAATAAAATAAATTTATTAGGAAGTATATTAAATGTAATGTGCTATTAAATTTGAGGTACGGATCATATGATTTACTAAGTCTCGTACCTCAATTTTAATAGCATACCACCCAAATGATTTCCAATTTCCAAAAATACAGAATGTCATTTTTCAATGCAAATTGGTTTTTATCAGATATTCATTATTTGAAGACATGTCAGTATAATTATGTAATATGCCCGATGTAACATTTACTCAATACTACGTAACCTCATAAAATAAAAAGATAGTCAACAAAATACAAGATAAATCGGTAATTCTAGAATAATATAATTTATAAATTTAAATTTCGATTATTAAGTCTTAATTTTCAAAATTTGAAATACTTCATAATCTTCTATTGAGAATTTCCCATCCGTATCCCTTATCGCCTT